TAGATAGCAGCACTTGGCGGTGTGTCGGTAGCGCAGTACAGTCAGTAAAGTAGATCAGTCGGTAATATAGTTCAGTCGGTAAGCTGACACGTAGTTGTTTTCTTCAACACTAGGTTGCAGGAGCCTCCAGTAAATAGTTAACAACAATGTAAAAAAAATTCCATAACGTTTGTTGATAATCTTAGTTTCTAAATGTAAAATGTGTATTATATATATAGATTTACATAATCTCTAATAGCACGTTTCAGATTGTATTGTTTTTAAAATTGTCTTAATTGTTATTTTTATTAATTGGTTCGTGTTGTTCTAATTGTATATCTTTTTACATTTGTTTATTCATTCTATGGTAAAACAGATTACTAATTCGAATACATTATACAGAAATGTGCTTTTGCCTTGATCATGATGTTATGATACCAATCAATCCTTCATAACACTTTTTGTGATGAAAATGGGTTAACATTTGTTTTTCAGTATATTATGTTCAGTTTATGAGAAATCTATAGAGGGTATCCAGTTCTATATACTGTACATACTATGTATATATATACTGTATGTACTGCGTTTCTTGCTCAATGTCTCACTGGAATATTGTATTTACCAGAGCTGAGACTTTCGATTAACCATGTAATTTTTCACTAGAAACAAAAGGGACTGAGAAAAGAGATTAGCATATTTATTTTACAAACAAATAGGATACGGTAGAAATAAGTATGCTGCAAAACAATTTATTTTTATAAATACAGAATTGTAATGCTTTCTTGAATAATGTTATTCTAGATCGCTACTAGCCATTTCACATACATTTATATATCAGAGGAATTTTAATTCTAACAACTGGCTTTGGTTGGAACTATTTTTCTAAAAAAAAAGCCACGTCAACATAAGAGCACAAGTACTATTTCATATTAAGCATATTCCATATTGAACAAAAAATCTAATTAACTATACAGCCCGATGTGTATGTTTTACTATAACTTCAGAAGTGTATTAAATTCATACAGCACTAAAATGACTTTCAACTGGACCAAGGAAAATCTTGTATTAAATTTGCTATGGCGAGGAAAATTATATTGTCCTATTAAATATGCAACGTTAACAAATGGTACAACCAACATTTTCCTAGTGTAATTCAATAGGAAATTTAAATTTTTTCAAAAGCTGTAAAATAACTGATAACTATATTAAAATCGATACTTTTTACTTTCTTCTCCCATACATTATATAACTTACCGTAAAGAAGAATGTATTGTTTTCATAACAAATTTGTAGTTTGAGTTTTGGGTTGAAATGTTTGTTTTGTGAATGTGTACAGAGCTATAGACTATACCTGTGATCCTATATTCATTAATCTTGGTGTGTAGGCACTAACATTGGGTAAAGGTACTAATCAAGTGTATCTCCAAGTGTTTTTCATTTTTTGAAATTTAGATTTTTAATTTTTATAGAAATTTCTAATAAACCCCATAAAATAATGGAAACTTTGGATCTTTTACAAAAACGGCTCCAACGATTTTGATTACGATTTAGTATGTAATGGCCCTTTTAACTTAAAACAAAATAGTACAACCCCCAATGCTGTAAAAATTGGCGATCATAAAGTATTCAACTTTTATGAGTTTACCATTAAATACCGTAGTTACTCCAACCGCTTACCAATGATAGGGGTTGTTATGTATGAGGCGGATTGCTTATACATTTTGTTCTAAAAATAAAATCTGAATGGGACGAATAATAATTTCCTTAACTAAAATAATTCTTCAGATATATTAATTGTTCACATGAGGGGATTATTAGCATGAAGTGCTTTTGAGTATAGCTCTGTACAGTAATTTACAAAACTGTACCCTCGAAATCGGCTTGAATCTACAACTGCAAAAACCAAACGCAATTTTAATTGTAAAGTTATGGCAGATAAAATTAGATCATCTTAACTTGCAGGGTGCAGACTTGGGTTAATGACACAATATTCTATGGCCCATTTCTTAGTGCTATGTAAATTAGGTATAATATCATCTGCTGTAATATTATATAGCCTATACCATATAAATACTAGTTCTACCAATACTAGTAGGCATGTCACTAAGAAATATAACTTCCCATATTTCATTATAGGATTATATAAAAAAGATGAAGGGAAAAAAGCCATACATTTAGTTTTTACTATAAAACTTTTATTCTTTTTTAACTGAGATAAACGAAATATTTACAGACAGTACAGTACAATACAAGAATAGGAGCACAATAAAGTGTTTAAATACATTATCAATAATATAAAAATCACAATATTGATCAAGAACATATTTGGAGTGTTAATGTCTTTCCATTGTTTGTTAGAGATCACACACAGAAGTCACATATTTCAAGTCACATTTTACCCAAATAACGTACAAAATAAAAGTGTTTTAATTACCATATATATACAATTATTTACACTTAAAGTAGTCTTTGATTGTATTACATCCATTTGGAAAACATGATCAATCTTTGGCTTGTCAATATTATTCACACAATATACACAATAAGTGTCATTTTTATATGTACAATAAATGAAAGACAGTTACAAAATCTCCATGATGTGAATAGAAATAACAACTAAATCTCTTTGTAATTTTGATGAATGACGATTTGTCTAAAAAGACAATCAAAATGGTTGTTGCAAACTTTCTTTGTTTATATTTGGTATCGTTTTATGGAATAACAGGCCTTGAGAAGATTCATTGGTTAGTTGTAAAAAGGTGTGAAAAAGTCAAATTTAATACATTATGTTACAGTCTCAACACTACGACGAGGGCAAACCACATTTAAATCCGTTTTTTTAACTAGCCTTTTTCAATTCAGTTCTTAAAATTGAAAATATTCACATGACAGTATTGTTTAGTTACTTTACAGTATTGTTTTGTTAATTTGCAGTACAAGTTTGGACCAATGAGGTTCAATAATTAAATGAAAAGAAGAAAAATGTTCAAACTGTACTTCGAACGTCAAGTTATCAGCTGTTAAGACCAGTTTAATTGATTAAACAATGAGTGAGTTGTTGGGATAATAAGTTGTTGCATCACTTTCAGTGGCAATGAGAAGTTTGGACGAAAACATAACCTCTCTTGGAAGTTATGAGTAGTGATTTTTATTAATTAAGAGACAGTCTTAGGTAAAGTAGTGTACGCGTACACTACTATAAACATGATAATCAGGAATATTTCGGTTTCTGTTGGTCTTTTAATATCAAGCTTTTGAATTGTTCAACCTAAGTAGTCATTATCAACACAATCATTACCAACTAAACGACAACAATGAGAACTTACATTGAACATAATAAAACTTGTTCAACTTACTATAATGCATTATTTCCATAACTATTTATTGTTAATCGTCATTGATGTTTAAATCAATACTGTTTTGTGTGGAAATTTAGTGTTTATAGTTTTCTTCTTTCTACAAACTTCTAGTTTTAAACATGTATCACGGTAACCTCATTTATGTAACTTAAACTTTGGTAATGAAACAATTTATTACTTTGATTGGTTAAAAAGCTTCTCCAAAAATATTAGATCATTAGCTCAAATGACAACAATAAATACATTTCTAAGATTGTGAGAAAAAAGAAAAATGTTTTATTAAATACACTTGTAACGCGTTTGATTTGGATTCTTATTCCCGCATACATATTTTAACAAGGTAAATATGGCACTATTTATTTTGTTATGACGTAAAATAGCCAAGTAGTATATGTACCAAGGTTCTAGCAATGGATAGTTTTGGAGGGAATTTTAAGGGAAGGGAGAGTAACAAAGTCAGCACAAAAGAGAGCAAATCCTCTCCAAAGGTCGCTGTACAGAGGTTCGGTTATCTTGGACAAGCTTTTCTTGAAGATTCCACGGCCAACATTTATCCCTAGCTTGATGTGTTTGAAGATGTTGGTGACTCATGTGAGGTCTTAGGCTACCTGAGATCTTGGACAAGCTTTTCTTCTTCTTTTGGAGATTCTAAACTCCATGTAGCACCACTTCCTCAGTGTTGATGTGTTTGAAGATGTTGGTGACTCGTGTGAGGCCTTAAGCTACCTGAGGTCTTTGACAAACTTCTCTTCTTCTCTTGGAGATTCTACGACCCATATGTATCACCACCTCCCCAGTGTTGAGGTGTTTGAAGATGTTGGTGACTCATGTGAAGCCTTAGGCTACCTGAGGTCTTGGACAAGCATCTCTTTTTCTCTTGGAGATTCTACACTCCATGTAGCACCAACTCCCCAGTTTTGATGTGTTTGAAGATGTTGGTGACTCATGTAAGGTCTTAGGCTACCTGAGGTCTTGGACAGGCTTTTCTTCTTCTTTTGCAGATTCTACGGCCAACATAGTAGCCCCACCTCCCCAGTTTTGATGTGTTTGAAGATGTTGGTGACTCATGTAAGGCTACCTGAGGTCTTGGACAAGCTTCTAGTCTTCTCTTGGAGATTCCACGGCCAACATGTAGCACCACCTCCCCAGTTTTGATGTGTTTGAAGATGTTGGTGACTCATGTAAGGTCTTAGGCTACCTGAGGTCTTGGACAGGCTTTTCTTCTTCTTTTGCAGATTCTACGGCCAACATAGTAGCCCCACCTCCCCAGTTTTGATGTGTTTGAAGATGTTGGTGACTCATGTAAGGCTACCTGAGGTCTTGGACAAGCTTCTAGTCTTCTCTTGGAGATTCCACGGCCAACATGTAGCACCACCTCCCCAGTTTTGATGTGTTTGAAGATGTTGGTGACTCATGTAAGGTCTTAGGCTACCTGAGGTCTTGGACAGGCTTTTCTTCTTCTTTTGCAGATTCTACGGCCAACATAGTAGCCCCACCTCCCCAGTTTTGATGTGTTTGAAGATGTTGGTGACTCATGTGAGGCCTTAGGCTACCTGAGGTCTTGGACAAGCTTCTCGTCTTCTCTTGGAGATTCCACGGCCAACATGTAGCACCAACTCCCAAGTTTTGATGTGTTTGAAGATGTTGGTGACTCATGTGAGGTCTTAGGCTACCTGAGGTCTTTGACAGGCTTCTCGTCTTCTCTTGGGAGATTCCACGGCCAACATGTAGCACCAACTCCCCAGTTTTGATGTGTTTGAAGATGTTGGTGACTCATGTAAGGTCTTAGGCTACCTGAGGTCTTGGACAGGCTTCTCGTCTTCTCTTGGAGATTCCACGGCCAACATGTAGCACCACCTCCCCAGTTTTGATGTGTTTGAAGATGTTGGTGACTCATGTAAGGTCTTAGGCTACCTGAGGTCTTGGACAGGCTTCTCGTCTTCTCTTGGAGATTCCACGGCCAACATGTAGCACCACCTCCCCAGTTTTGATGTGTTTGAAGATGTTGGTGACTCATGTAAGGTCTTAGGCTACCTGAGGTCTTGGACAGGCTTCTCGTCTTCTCTTGGAGATTCCACGGCCAACATGTAGCACCACCTCCCCAGCTTTGATGTGTTTGAAGATGTTGGTGACTCATGTAAGGTCTTAGGCTACCTGAGGTCTTGGACAGGCTTCTCGTCTTCTCTTGGAGATTCCACGGCCAACATGTAGCACCACCTCCCCAGTTTTGATGTGTTTGAAGATGTTGGTGACTCATGTAAGGTCTTAGGCTACCTGAGGTCTTGGACAGGCTTCTCGTCTTCTCTTGGAGATTCCACGGCCAACATGTAGCACCACCTCCCCAGTTTTGATGTGTTTGAAGATGTTGGTGACTCATGTAAGGTCTTAGGCTACCTGAGGTCTTGGACAGGCTTCTCGTCTTCTCTTGGAGATTCTACGGCCCACATGGAGCACAACCTCCCCAGTTTTGATGTGTTTGAATACATTTATTGCCTCCTGATGACTCATTCCGTGCAACGCTTTATTGTTTACTGCCAAAATCTCGTCTCCTGAAACCACACAACAACAAAATATTATTGCTGCATTACAAATTCGAATATTACTAATATTGGAAATGTGAAGTTTCACGACTTTTTGTAGTGTTAATTATTCCCTTATTTGAACAATTTTATTATATAATTGCTCTAAATTTTAACTACTTTCCCGATTCAATCGTCTCAGCGTCTCAGAATATATTTTTATTACTTTTTAAGCATGTTGGCCTTATGCTATCTATGTTGATCTTATGTATGTAGTAAGAAAAGTGGCATCTTTGTAGTTAAGAGATTAATAAACAAAGGGAAGTCACATTGACTAAGTCCCTCTTATTTTTTATTAGTCTACCTGTCCCAGAAGTGTTAATGGGTTTGTGCTTGTAGTTCTGACCTAAATAGAAACCCTTTTGAGGGTATTTGAAAATGCGTTTTTAGTACTAAAGCCCCACAAGTGGCAGTCACGCGTGTGTCTGTGTGCGTACATCTGTGTGTGTGATGGTGCGTGTTCACCAACCGTGACGTCACGCGTCGTCGCACACGCACAAACACGTACTCATACGCCGGCTGCCAGACCATCATACGCCACACGCTCTGCATATATACGCTCCCATAATCACGCCTCTCTAGAACTACTCAGTCAGCTTACAACGACAAAATAATATTCATTCTATCACAATTACTGTTCGATTCTAAAAAAATTATCATAACCTCTAAATCGTTTGAAGTACGGATAACTCACAAATAAACGTTTACCTAATTGTATAACTAGTTTTTTTTTTTTTTTTTTTCAATGAGGGGCTAATCAAAAAAGGTGGGGACATAATTTACGAAGTTATTCCTTGGGTCAAAATAAAGAGAAAATCAAGAATACAACTTTTTCTAAAATCGCTTTGTTAACCACAGATATTAGCCATTTTGTGTGTTTTACGTTGTATAATAGTCAAAGGTTTTACATAACAATTTTTATCTTTGGATTATTTCAACCGATGTTTATGAAATTGTGTATGTTTGTTAAGATAGAAGAGACCCATGTAAGAAAATGTGTATCTTGATGCAATTCAAGATGGTGGCAATTATTATAATTTTTTTTATTTAAAAAATTATTAAATTGGTGAGTTTATGAAAGATTGTCTAGAACACTTTTATTTAGCATTTAAAATTACCTATCAAACGACACCGAGTATTAAAAGATCGAATAAAATATAACTAAAATATCACGATAAGTTGTACAATGAGGCAAACCTGGCTAGCTTAGCCTTTTTCTACCCCATTTTACAACTAAAACTCGTTATATTTCAAATATTTTTAGTTCGATCTTTTGGAATTTGAAGTGTGTTGCCCTGATGATGGCTAACACCTTTTTAAACGAAACGTCCTAGTCAAAAAGGAATTACAATTTCCACGTTATGTAATCACCATAGAATCTAAAAAATAGTTGATTGCTAATTGTATCACGTTTATTAACCCACCTTCCCTGAGCGTGTTGCCCTCAGCAGCTTGTCCGTTGGGGAAGACAGTCTTCACGTAGATGCCCATGCTACCCTTAGGGGAGTCTCGGCCCCCGACTATGCTGAAGCCCAGCCCCTTGCAGCCCGGACCCTTGGTGAACCTCACAGTCAGGATAGTGAAGGTGTTCTTGCCACCGCCTCTTGGCAATGTGCAGAACTTGCTCTCCTCGTCTTCTTCCACCTCTACTTCTTCTATCAGCTGTAAAGGAAAACTCGTCTTAGTCAAACTACTTCTTCTTTGTACAAATTTTGGATTCTCGACCTCTAAATCCCTTTAGCAATTATTTAAAGGGAAATGGGTAAAAAAGATGGAAAATATATTGGGTAAAACCAAAATTTTCGATGGTAAAAACGCTTTTATTTCAATGCTAATATTTTCACTCTATTATCAATTTTACTCAATGCAAGGCAGAAACATAAATCGGAAAATCCATCTTTAAACGTAGTTTACGCAACGATCGTGGAAAGGTAGTCTTTACGTCACAATTAGAAATGTAAGGCACGAGCTTTGGCGAGTAGCGTAAATGCTGAATAAGTTAGTGGCTTACACTCAATTGCCTATAATGAGTAGAGTTATTTGAGTTAGGTGAGAGGGGATAACTCTTGGTCCGTTAGTTTACCACACTAGTGCTGTAAAGTAAGTAAACAATGAGTAAAGTGAATATTTTCGACTCTTACATTTAAACTGATTGTTGTCGAAAAGTATACTGCCTATAAACTCCATTTTATTTCCACTCAAACATCAATAGTTAGGGATTGTTAACCAAACTATTAAGTTATTTGAAAATATTTTTTTTATTATCCTTTTCAGAAATTTTACAATTTATTTAAGCACTTTTAAGGATAGTTTACTGTATCTTAACTTTTAAAAAGACAAATTAGTACTATAAATAAATAATTTCTTCTAACGAAACCTTCCAGGTAATAATTTGAAACTATGCAAAGAATATTTGAATGATTGCTGGTTCCAAATTACACCGCATGACCTTACACTAGTCAACTTATTCGATTTTTTATATGATTTTTTACTTATTCAACACATTGGTTATGGGAACATAAACAACGTTCATACGTTTCATAGAAAATCTTGTTTGTGAAAGTCTGAATGCTTTAAACGTTCCACATTGATTGAAAATCGCATTGGCGTAAGTTAGCTTAGGCCTACAACACGAACAAAGAAATCCTTACTGATAAAGATAAATGGAAGGGTGTGTAAGAAGTGAAAACGTGCGGGCGGAAAGGAGATCTGATCTGAAACACGTGCTTCTGTTATGTGGGCATAATAAACTTTCAAATATTAATGGCCACTGAAAAAGTCCATTAGTCATTTCTTAGTACAATATTAGCTAGTAATTACTTTTGAATTAGTGCGTCAACTCCATTACTGGTGGAAAAATTATTCTTCAAACATCCAAAAGATATCTCAAATGGTGAAATCTCTACCTGTAGTACAAGATTCAAAACTTGACTCAGTTGAAAATTGAGCTTCCAGAAAATATTCCTAGATAGCTAAAAAAACAATCTTCTAATTTGACACTAATCTTGTACCGATCTTTGGCCAGAGTTACTCACATTGCTGTATCATAGAACTAAATATGAAACAATTCTGTGGTCATAGCCTCTAGGCCAGTCAAACCAAAGTAATTTACATCACACAAAAACATGAACATATTATTCCAAGTTGTTTTACGGGTACCACTATGGTACAGACTCACCTTATGTGTAGTCGGAGGATGCCTCTGTAGATCTCCACTACTACGTGTGGGTATCTTGCTGAGTTGGCGATGGTTCCTAGGTCTCTCAGGGGGAGGAGTGACCCTGAGTGAGGGAGGTGCAGGATCATGTGGAAGTCCTATATGAAGAGATTTAGGTCCAGAGTCTCTACCCAGAGGCGAAGGTTCCCTCCTGGTGACTGGACCTCCAACCACGAACCTCTGCAAAGCTAGTGTGTCCGCCTGCGACCATCTCCTACAGGAGCGAGTCTTCGGTCTGTTCCTATCTAGGTAATCCTCCTCAGGGCTGTCAGCAAAACTAACTCTGTTTTTTCTCACTTTATCATATTCCTCGAGCCCGATGGTTCCTTCTATACTGTGATATCCGTGGTCCCACTCTTGACCTTCATACCTCCTTGTCGACGTACTGGAAGACACTGAAGATCTATTACTGTTGTTACTCCTCCTGTCGTCTTCAGGGGTTCCTGAACCTCTACCAGACGAACAGGTGCTTGGGGGTTTTCTTTCGTCTCTAGCAGGGGAACATCTGTCTTTAACAGGAAAAGGAGGTAAACTCGTCAACCTTACGTGATAATCCTCTAGTTCTCCGTCGGACTCACTTCGTTTATGCCCAAGAGGTGAAGGAACGTAAAAGGTAGGCTGTTTGTTGGACACTTCGTGCACAGAGAAGGTTCGGGACTTCCTCAACCCGTCGTGTATCCTGTTCAACTTGGACCGTAGGATGTGCTGGACGTCGGGTAGCCCCTTGGTACCTCTGGGGGTGTCCGGGGAACTCCAGGGCTCGGGGGACGACCCTCTGGGAGGTCGTGGAGACACTACTCTCGCTCTAGGAGTATCTGGGCTCAGGAGGGTCTGCTGCTGGGAGGTGCTGTGGGAATGGGACCCGCTGGTGAAGGAGGAACATCTCCGCCGAAGTCGCCGCCAGCGCGCTGACAAACTCTTGTTCCACACTGAGAAGTCTGCAACAGAAAATGGGTGTTTCAGAAAGATTAAGGCAATAAATTATATACCAACTTATATAAAGAATAATGAACTCCAAATTGGTTGTATTACGTGTCTAACACTACTTTACATACCTATACACGTATAAAGTAACTGAAGTAAGATTATTCATACGACACACAAATCAATAATTTATTTCCTACATCGTCAAGAAACTAAATCCATCCTCAGTGTTTTAACTTAGCGTAAATGCCTGAAGATGAATAATTAATTGTTTATATCACGACTACCAAACTGTTGATCTTGGAAACATATTTTTTGCCTACAGGAACCTTATAGATAAAGGCTTAATCTTTTATTCAATATACTGTATTTGAATTACAGAACAGTTTAATGGTTCCTGGCGTTTAAAGTAATAAAATAAATGGTATCAGCATTCTGACACATACTTTCTCCCATAAGTTTGTCAACAACCTTTATCATGTGTAAGCGGTGAGTGTAAATATACGGAAATGGGATTTGTAAGATTTTCTTCAGAATTTAAAGGACTATAACATACTAAATTTTTATCAAAATCGTTCGAGCCAATATTGGGAAAATATGATTTTCCGTTATTTTATGGGGTTTTTATGGGGAAATACCATAATTTACAATAACTTTTGAACCGTAATTTTTACAGAGATGGGATTTGTACCATTTTGTTTAGAATATAAAGGACTATAACATACTAAATTTTTATCGAAATCGTTCAGGCCATTTTTGGGAAAATCTTTTTTTTCCGTCATTTTATGGGGTTTTATGGGAAAATACCCATTAAAAATAAAAATTTCTAAGAAATGAGAAAAACTATCAACATTGTAAGGATCATAACATACTATGTTAAATAAAAACGGATTTTTTTGTCTAAAATCCTATTTTCGTTATTTTATAGGATTTTTATGGGAAAATAACATAATTTACCATAACTTTTGAACCGTAATTTTTACAGAAATGGGATTTGTACCATTTTGTTCATAATTTAAAGGGCTACAACATACTAAATTTTTACCAAAATCGTTCGGGCCATTTTTGAGAAAATCCGATTTTTCCGGTTTTTTATGGGTTTTTATGTGAAAATCCCCATTAAAAATCAAAATTTCAAAAAAATGAAAAAAAAGCCTGGAGATACCATGGATTAGAACCTACATACCAAATTTCATCGAAATCGGACCACAGGTGTAGTCTCTAGCTCTGTACACATCCAGACACACAGACACACAGACACACAGACACACACACACACACACACACAGACATCACTTCGAAAACCACTTTTTTGGGTCCAGGGGGACCCAAAACGAATATATCCACGCGAAACTCAAACTCGAAAATTTTGACGAAAACAATACTTTCTCCATATACTATGGTATAGGGGGAGAAAGTAAAAATTAAAAAGTAGGTATTTATAAAAAATATTTTTTTCCAGATTTGACAGAAATCTATGGGTAATTAAATCCACAAATGCAGCTAAGTGTATATAGTGAACAACGTACGACAGTAAATCCATTTTTTTTCTTAGATCCCCGATGTTAGTTAACTTCCTGTATATTTCACAATGAGTGAACAGACACATCTAAGGATATTATAGAACACTAAGTTTAAAATGAGTATAAAATGTAAACTAATGGTAAATAATAAAGAAAACTGCCATTGAATTATAATAACAAAAAGAATACATCAACAGAGTCATCTACAAATTACACGACGAGTCATAATTTTGTTCAACATCATATGTTGTTGATATGCGACTTTAGTTTATAGTAGGGGACACGTAGATATTACGTAGGCTCATGTCATATAGTATGCAGTGTTGTATTTGTGGTTACAGACACATGATCAAGGAGGCCGAGCCGCGGGATCTCGTGTTGCATTGTGGGAACTCCAAACGTTCGCAGTGTTCACTCCCAGGGAAGAAAAAACTTGCTGTTACTACTTTTCGTTGCGGTGTCAGGTTGTAGGAAGAAACTCAAAGCGCGATTTCGTAATCGTGTCTAAATATAATGCTGTTTGCTAGGATTTCGTAATAAATCTTTTATATTTACAAGAAAATATTAAGTATTCTGTTTTCTATGCAATAGTTTTAATGCACTTTAATAAAATAATCCCGTATTATATAGATTTCAGGCCGTTTAATTTTACATACAACAGCTAAAAGATACATTGTTTTTTAAATTATTCAAACAATTTACCTTTGGATGTTAAAGTTAAAGTATTATGTAGTCACACCGAACATTGTTGAATGGGCTACTGGTATTTAGAAAGGGATCATCCCATAACCCCAAGTAAAGTACTTCTATACCCAAGTAAATACAATCCCAAGTGATCATAACCCCAAGATATTTTTATACAACCCCTCACAACACCAAGTACTCGTAAACCAAACGAAAATGCGATCATTAACAAAACCAAGTTCTCACAAAACCACTGTAAACTAATTTCCAAGTACTTATATTTATACTTTAGAAAGTTCACTACTGTCATGCTTCTATTCCCTCTCTTCGATCTTCATACTATGATAGCTGATGTGACTTCAAGCTGTATTTTTGCAGTTTTTCTTGGTTTATAAGTTGTGTATTCAAGAGAAAGGTGTGATATACATCAGTGTACTTTGTCGGTGGCTCAGTTAATTTTTTTCACTTTTATTTTAAAACATGCTACACATTCTTAACATCGGAATTGTATGTCTAGGTTCCATCAATAGCCAAAGATACAACTTAACTGTCTTAACTTGAAATTATGTTATGGTTTGTGACCTAATTTTTTATTAAATTCATGAACTTTATTACAAGAACCTTTAGTTAAAAGCAAATACTATTGCTTAGTGCATATAAGGTACAGTTACATGTTTTATAAACTATTAATAAGTAAAGTACATACAGATTGGACTATTTTCTATTTTCATCATTTAATTGTTCATGTCTGTTGGAAATGTTCATGTCTGTATTCATATACACGTCGATGAGGAACAATTCTACAAGGAGTGTCTCGTACTCTTTGACCGCTTATTTATTCTATTGACAATCTCAAACGCCTCAGTGCTATACCAATAACACTGCAATAGCAACACAATAGAGGGTGCGGCGAAATGCACTTCAATTACCAGGCAAATGGAACTGTCGAAACGATAAATTATCGCAAACTCGACATCGATATATCGATTACTCACGTATTTACATATCTCCCACGCGATGCATCGATTGTGTCACCAGGTTATGTAGACAAGTTCTGTTAGCACATTAAACGGACCTTCTCGTTCATGTCATGCGATAAACTATCGCAAACTCGACATCGATATATCGATACTCACGTATTTACATATCTCCCACGCGATGTATCGATTGTGTCACCAGGTTATGCAGGTTATGTTAGCATACGGACCTTCTGACATCTCGATTATATCGTATCGTATAATGTTAATAAGGTAGCTGCACGAAAGTGAACGGCGGTTACGAAACTGGTTGCTACATCGATGATATTATAGAGTAAATCGATGAAAGGGAGGGATACGAGTTTCACTGGTTTAACTGATTCAATTTATTACTGGTCCCTGGTTTTTGAGCCCCAAAAATTAAAATATGTTATTTAAAATTCCTTTGCAAATGAATTTCCTACAATTAAAGTAACAATTACAGTTCTATATTCATAATAAGACCTCGGTCAGAGGCATTGTAAGTTCTCATTTTTTACTGTCGATTTATACAACCAGGTCGACTCTGACACACAAAGGTGCGCACTTTTAGGTGAAGCTGTGTGAAAGTTTTGAGATGAGAGCTTCGTTACGGACTATGATCAGGTGGTACTTGTTCTGGAACCTTTTGTCAAAATCCTAAAGATCAAGGAACTCTGGATTCAATTTCTTACCATGAAAAAGTTACTAACTTTGTCCAGGATCGAACCAGCAGCATCCTGATTCCTAGGACTAGGACATAGCTTAGTCAGCTACTAAGCTATAATAATATTATATTGTTGAATTAGTATGGGCCTACGTGTATGAAAGAATTGTAAAAGTAAATGTAATGTTTAAACAAAAATATCTCTTTGAATGAATTTGCTAAACATGCCCAATCTGGGAGCCGAATCAGGACCAAGAGTTGGAGGATTCCCAAATCTTAAAAACAAAACTTAATTTGTAAATTTTTTTTTTCAAACGTATTTATTGTTTTATGATTATTTTTAGTTTTGCCTGGATATTAAATAAGCAGACTAAGTACGTGCTATCCTCATAATACTTGGATGGTAAATTAATTTGGTTGTTTGTATTTATATCATCATATAATTTGGCCAACTACCTAACAGATTTTTAATCTTTAAAATTATAGTGAAAACACCAAACTGTACGTGTCCTCCATAGTATCAGATATAAGCTATATTCGGAGTGAGTCAAAATAGTATATTTCATCGTATTAAGGACCTTATTGTATCAAATGTTAATAAATCAACTAAAAATCTTCTAACAAGCTGTGATAGGGGTATTTTAGGAAATCCCTTTGTATAACTCTATGCACTTAATTAATTTTCTCGCAAAATGATATTTTTTTACCCGTTTATATATGCATTTTCGTTGAAATTTCTTTCATCAAAATCTCAATTTGTTAATACTATACTAAATTATTTTATCACCCTCACATACGTTTATCAAGATCGCCAAAATAATGGTACGTAAGACCTACAAGGCTTTTTATCATACATACAAACCATACATCATATTTATTACAAATCTATATTTTTATTTAATTATTTTAATATGATTAGTCTTGTAATGTCAGAATCATCAACCTCTCCACACCAAGAAACAGTAATGTACATCAAATTCTAAGAAAGATTTGTAGTTTGAAATCATTTATCTGACGCCACAATAATACAATAATGTAAGTACCGTACCGTTTAAAGTTCCTATAATGAACAATTTAAGAAGTTTCTGTATGACCTGTGCATCTGCCTATCAGAGTCGAACACCTACCAGAGCGTGAAGTTGAAG